CCATCTTTTTTTTTTTTTTAGTTGGAATCTCACTCTGTTGCCCAGGCTGGAGTGCAGTGGTACACTCATAGCCACTGCAGCCTCAACCTGCTGGGCTCAGGTGACCCTTCTACCTCAGCCTTCCAAGTAGCTGGAACTACAAGCATGTGCCACTGTACCTGGCTAATTTTTTGATTTATCGTCAAATTGCCCAGGCTGGTCTCGAATCCCTGGGCTCAGGCAATCCTCTCACCTTGGTCTCCCAAAGTGTTGGGATTACAGGTGTGAGCCACCATGTCTGGCTTCCAGGTAAAAATCTTAATGCCTGAAGGGGGGGGCCTCCATGCTGTCATGAGTTAGCCTATGGCTCTGATTTTATATTGGCTCACTTGCCCCTGAATGGACTTCCAGAATCTCCAGAGGATTTTCCACACCAGGTAGGACACACCAAGACAATTCATCCTGGCTTCTTGGAACAGATCATAAGCTTTGGTAGGAGTGGCCTGGAAGTCTTCACTTTAGTTACAAGACCTATACACTCCTGGAATAGATTTGCAAGGCCTGTCCTCTACCCCAATTCTCCACAAACAGCTATTGTAGCTACAGCCCATCAGCTCTGCCCAGGGACAACCAAGAAACTAAAGAGGACTGTATACTCACGTTCACCTCCCCAGAGTCATTTTCCTTCAGGACAAAGCTCAGGGTCTTCTCACTGGGCCCTGCAAGGAGCCGCAGTCGTAGGGGCTGCTCGTCATCCGACAGCTTCCTCAAATACACTGAGGGCCGGGGGTGAGGAGGGGTATATGATCAGACACAGGCCCAGCTGCCTCAGCAACCTACATGCACAGGTACATGCATAAATATACACAGGGCAAAGGTAGGGTAGAGAAGCCCACCTTGGCCATGACGCTCAGCCCGTTCAAAAAGTGCAAATTTGCGGGGGTCATCCACTACTAAGAACTTCCGCAGCAAGGCCTCGATGACCTCATGTGCCCGAGTGCGTGACAGCACATGTAGGTGTTTGACAGCATCCTTGGGCAGATAAAAGGAGGTGCGGCGCTTCACAGATGTGCCCCTCCCTGGGCCCCGCCGGGCATCCTGCAAGGTTGGTGGCTTCTTGTTGGAGGGCACGGAGACAGGGCGGACCAACTTCAGCTGAACTTTGATGAAGCCTGTGTAGGAACCATCCTTGTTCTAAAGAGAAAACAAACCATGACAGTAGGTTCCAGGTGAGATGAAACAGACTGGGGTACCATCAGTATACTTGGGGCTAGGCTGGAAATGCATAAATTGCTGCTTGGGCCCACCCAAGAATACCTCAGGTATGACCCACTGGGCATTAGGCCCAGAGTTAGGGTCCTGTTCCTTCCCACACCCACTTACCAAGCAGTCAACTCACCAAGCTCATGAAGAGGTTGCTGTTGATCTGGCCATTGTACTCCTTGATCTTCTGCTCAATCTCAGCCTGAGATAGGTCAGGTTTCTCCCACTCCACAGGCTCATCCTGCAAGATGCACCAGCATGGATACAGGGCCCTTGAGGAACCTAAGGCTTCTCTGAAAAATGACCTCTGGGGCAGTCATTGGAAACTGACTGTTCTTAGCCCTGTCAGTCATATACATAGCTGCCCAGCACCCACCCTGAGCCCGTCACTGTTCCTGGTTCTGCATGCTATGGGTAGAGACGGCAAAGACAGAATCATTTGGTTTCTCTCTGCCACATGCCTAGGGCGACTTCAGAATACTACAGAACCAGGGGCAGCAGAAGGCACATGGCCAGGGGCCAGGAATAGAGGAGGAACTCTGAGAAGGGACTCTTGTTTCAAGTAAAACCATGTCTCAACTGCACAACTTGATCCCAGCACGCTAGTTGGATGGGAGTCACGGTTTATCCTAGAGAAGGTAGCCCATTTTCCCACCCTGCCTCTGCACAAGGTCATGACCCACTACAGAATGGGCTTATAGGAACTGGTGCACAATAGTAGTCCAACCAACAGTGGGCAGGAGGGGAAGGGTAACCTCTACAATCCCTTGGAGGAGTACTTGGGGCCAATCCTCCATGTCTCAGACATAGTGAGGAAATCACTGTGATATAATGTTTAACCTTGACATAAGCTACACAAAAGGCAGCTTCAGGCCAAGCTCCAACTGGCCAGAGGCGCACAGGCAACTTTCTGGTACAGGCTGTCTCACATGTGCTAAGAAGGCGGGCTTCTGCATCTCGCCGTGCTGTCTAGAGATTAAGTCTGCAGATTTTTGGCTCCACACTCACTCTGACTCCTGCAGGGACTAGATTCTTTTTTTTTTTTTGAGTTGGAGTCTCACTCTGTCGCCCAGACTGGAGTGCAGTGGCCGCTCCCAGCCACCGCAGCCTCGACCTGCTGGGCTCCAGCGATCCTTCCGTCTCAGCCTTCCAAGTAGCTGGAACTACAGGCGCGCACTACCACGCCAGGCTAATTTTTTTTTGATTTATTGTAGAGATGAGGTCTCGCCAAGTTGCCCAGGTGGGTCTTGAACCCGCGGGCTCAGGCAATCCACTCACCTCAGCCCCCCAAAGCACGGGATTATAGGCTGAGCCACCAAGCCCGGCGGAACTAGATTCTTGCCAGAAGGGTGGAGGAGTGTAGGCCAGGCAGCCAGGGTCTGAACTTTCTTCTACCACTCTTAGCCTCACTGCATCAGCCTTACTTCCTGTTGATGTCAGATAAGCCCTAGCTGGAATAGGAGTGTCACAGAGAGCTGAGATCACCACTGACCAATGCCTTGTCTCAGGGGAATTCTCACCAGGTTTCCTGTAGAATGATCTTGTACCCAGCTCTCAGCCCAGGACAGCCAGAGTTCTCCCTGACTGATACCTGGGAGCCTCCTAAACTGCCGTAACTATCTGATGAGGACAAATGGGCAGAAGCGAGTAGGGTGGAGCCCATGGTTTTTTTTAGCAGTATGCTTCTTACCCAGAACCTTCTGCTACTCAGTAGTCAGCAAGTACACAGGGCTGAGAACTGAGGTTGGGGCCTCACAGAAAAAAGGTATTGAGGGTTGGGGGGTGGGGGGGAGACCGAAGCCTATTTGCTTCCCCAGGTCTCCAAAGGTCTCCTGGACGGAGAAGAGCAATGGAGTAAAAGTTCCAGCAAAAACCTCGTTGGGGACAGTGGGCAACCCTATCAGGCTGATAAAAACAAATGGCATGGATCCTGGAAAGTGAAGGTTAGAGGCTTGGAATAAAGGGTAGATGTGTTTGTCCAGGCCCAAGGAAAGGGCTTGGAACAGGATGGAGTACCCCAATGGGAAAAAGTACTCAGACAGGAGGTGTGCTAGAGCTAGGCCAAGAAGAAAGAACATTCTGTTTACAGTACAGAGAAGGCACAGGGGCAGTGATAACTGACTCTTGTGATGGTTCTGAACTACCTGGGAACGAGACAAATTGCCACTTCATCTTCCCTTCCTGGATTATCTAGGAGCCTTGGTCTGGGACACAGTGACCTAAGTTTTAGCCCCTTCCCCTCTCCAGATGAACTTCTCTCAGTATCTTCATTCATAAAACAAAAACTTGGACTCTTCTGCCAGAATTCTAGAAGAAGAGGAGTTTCATATTCTGTTTCCAAAGTTTTCTGCTGAAAGAGGAGTCCAACAACTGTCCCAGAAGGATGCACAGCAGGACCATGGTATCTGCATCATAGAGACAAACCCTCTACTCTACCACTGTCCATAGTGACTGATGGTTTTATTTTCCATACGACTTGGGAAGTCTCAGCCTCCTTTTCTTTTTTTTTTTGAGTTGGAGTCTCACTCTGTCACCCAGACTGGAGTGCAGTGGCCGCTCCCGGCCACCGCAGCCTTGACCTGCTGGGGCTCCGACAATCCTTCTGCCTCAGCTTTCCAAGTAGCTGGAACTACAGACGCGTGCTACCACGCCTGGCTCATTTTTAAAATTTATTGTAGAGATGAGGTCTCGCCAAGTTGCCCAGGCGGGTATCGAACCCGTGGGCTCAGGCAATCTACTCACCTCAGCCTCCCAAAGGCACGGGATTACAGGGTGAGCCACTGAGCCTAGCTCTCCTTTTCATTTACTTACTTGTTTCCCCAACTTTCCACAATGGAAAATGGCTCAGGTCTAAGTGACATGAAGACAATCCCAGAGGTCCACACTTGAACCTTACACCCAAGCTCTGGACTGAGGTTAAGGGGCACTAAGCACCACCTCTTTTATAAGGAATTTTATAAAAAACTTCATCTAAATCATCATCCACAACTCTACTTTCTTGGCTTATTATTTTTTTAGAGTAGGAGTCTCACTCTGTCGCCCAGGCTGGAGTGCAGTGGCACACTCACAGCTACCGCAGCCTCAACCTGCTGGCTCAGGTGATCTTTCTGCCTCAGCTCTCCAAGTAGCTGGAACCACAGGTATGCACTACCACGCCCAGCTAATTAATTTTTAAAAATTATTATTTAAGCCGGGCTCGGTGGCTCAGCCTGTAATCTTGCGCCTTTGGGAGGCTGAGGTGAGTGGACTGCCTGAGTCCATGGGTTCAAGACCCGCCTGGGCAGCGAGACCTCATCTCTACAATAAATAAAAAATTAATTAGCTGGGCGTGGTAGTACACGCCTGTAGTTCCCGCTACTTGGAAGGATTGCCTGAGTCCAGCAGGTCGAGGCTGCGGTGGCCGTGAGCATGCCACTGCACTCCAGCCTGAGTGACAGAGTGAGACTCCAACTCAAAAAAAAAAAATTATTATTTATTGTAGAGACGAGGTTTCACCTTGTTGCCCAGGGTGGTCTTGAACCCCTGGACTCAAGCAATCCTCTTGCCTTCATCTCCCAAAGTGCTGGGATTACAGGAGAGAGCCATGGCGCCCGGCCACTTTCTTGGTTTAAATGAATAATTCTGCCTCACTGCTGCCAGGTATACTGAGCTTCACGTCCCTATCTCTCCTGGGTGTACTGGCCTGGGAACAGTTATGTGAGCCCAGTGGGCACACCCATGGCACCTGACACAGAGATCTCTGATAATGGGAACATCCTGGATAATGGGAGATTCTGAAAGGTTCTGCTGTCCTGGCTCCACACTTTACAGTCTGGATTAGTAACTCGGATTTCGTGCTACACCTCTCAAGGCAAAAATGTTTACAGCCTAACTTTTCCCCCCTCTTGTGGGTAAAGTCTTAAGGTCCAAAACAAGGTTTTCTTCCTATCCATTCCAAATTCCCTTTCTCCACCCTAGAGAGGGATCAGAATCCTTCACATTCCAGCAGCTGGTAACAGGCCAGGACCAGCAAGAGGTGGGGACTCCCGCTGGCTCCATCCAGGAGGGCACACGGAGAGGCAGGATCTCCCCAGCCTCTCAGTCCGAAACACACTTCTCAATTCCCGGCGACGACTCCTCCCTCTCCACTTCCTCTCCTAGTTTCCGCAGGGAGAAGCGTCCGAACGCAGAAACCAAGGAGCTAGTCCAGACTGCTCAGTCGGCTTTAGTCATGGGTGGATAATGCTCGTCTCAGGTCTACAACAAACTACAAAGCTGCTTTCCCTGGTTCAACTGGTCTGCGACAGGGAACAAGGAGGCCTTGTCACCCAGTACCTAGGCGCTGGACTCCGGGCTTTACACATGGTTCCGCGCAGGCTGGCCCCCAGCCGGGACCGGCAAGGAGTCACGCAGACTGGAGAGTGGGCGGCCTACCAACTCTCCACACCGCAACTTAGCAGGGACGGGCGGGATCCCAGAGGCTGCCCCCCGGCCCCCCCCCCCCCCCCCGCCGGCAGCCCTCGGCTCCCACCTGGTCCCGGCGCGGCCTGCGTGCCAGCGAGGTCCGCGCCGTGAAGTACTGTTCGAGCTCCGAGTCTGAGTCCTCTTGGCTGCAGTAGCCACTGCTAGTCGTGCTGCTCCAGGTCATCTCGAAAGAAGGCGTCTCCGCCTCGCCCATCGCCGCGCTCGCCCGGTTCCCCAGCCCCGCTCGCCGGCAGCCGCCAACCACCGCCCCGGTCTTGTGCGTGCGTGGACGCGTGTCAGTATGCGCGTGCGCCGGAGTCCGCGCCGCGCCGCGCCGCAGCCGTTTCGGCTGAAATGCCCACAGCCCAGGTCTATTTCTGGTCTCATTGGGGGAGGAACATCGAGGGGCGGGGACACACGCTACTCCTCCAGGAATGCCCTCATCGCCCAGGAAGCTCGACTAGGCTCCGCCCAGCAGCCTCCACCTCCACCAAGAACGTGTCGGCTCAAAGCGCTTGCGCGGGTGCTTCAACGTCACCGCAAAACCGGAAGCGAGGGCAGGCAGTGCGCGTGCGCGGAGCCTGGACCGGGCTTAGCGCTGTTCCGTTGGGGCCTGTGGACTCCGCGTAGAGCAAGCACCCTGACCGCCCTCCGATCCCATACACAGAATTAGCCACTCTGCCGCCAGGAAATCGGCCACTAGAACGCTCGGTGAGCGCAACGTCCGGGAACCCTGGGAACGCCTGCGCTGTGACCCTTCCGTCCTTGCCCCAGCCCCACACGCCCCTGCCCCGCGCTCACCACATTGGTGTCCCGCTCTAGCGCGGGCTCCCAGCCCAGGTCCCGGGGTCCGCAGCAGTCCAGGCAGACGAGCGCGCGGCAACGGTAGTGGCAAGTGAACTTGCAGTCTGCAGAGAGGTCTTACCGTGAGGCGGAGGAGCCCCAGCTCGGGGAAGCGTCCCGGGGACTGAAGGGGGAGCCCCGGGGTGAGGGTCTGCGTGACTGGCCTATCTCAGGTTGAGTTATCGCCCGCTGCTACAGACTCTAATGTTGGTCCCTGCTTAGGCGGTCAGGGATCCAAGCCTGCCAAACACTGGGATTTCTAGCGCTTAGCTCAGAGCTTCCCACTTAAGTATCGTCAACTTCTTCTCCCGCCCGTTTACTGGAAGGAAAAACCAAAACCCTTTAACCTATGCCCCTCACCTCCAGATGTCATCTGTCTCTACTTCCCTCAGACCAAAACGCTGGTCTGCATACTCTAATTCTTCGACTTCACACTCTTCTCCACCCACTCCAGTCAGACTTGCCCATCCCTCCAGGAAGCTGTCCTGGTTGGGGTCCTCAGCGATCTTTTTACTGTGAAATGGAATCCAGCGTTTCATCCTCCAGTCTCACCTCTATATCTTTGAAGCTTGCTCCCCTTGGCTCCCAGGGGATACACTCTCCCACCCCTCTGCATCTTTCTGCTCAGTTCCTTTGCTTATTCTGCCTCAACTTCCAGATCTAATGATGATGTCTGGGACTCAGTCCTGATCGATGTCACGCTCTGTTAGCACTCACCTGCCCCATATCCATAGCTGGAACACCGACCCACCCTCTCAGATCAAATCCTGGGTGCCAATACCTTCACTTGGATATCTAAAAGACTTTTTTTTTTTTTTTTTTTTTTAGTCAGAGTCTCACACTGTCACCCAGGCTGGAGTGCAGTGGCACGCTCACCACCACCATAGCCTCAACCTGCTGGGCTCAGTTGATCCTTCCTCCTTAACCTTCCAAGTTCTGGAAGTACAGGTGTGCGCCACCTCGCCCGGCTAATTTTTTTGATTTACTGTAGAGACAAGGTCTCATCAAATTGTCCAGGCTGCTCTCGAACCCCTGGGCTCTGGCAATTCTCTTGCCTCAGCCTCCCAAAGTGCTGGGATTATAGGCTTGAGCCATCATGCCTGGCCTAAAAGACATTTCAAGTGAACATGGCCAACATTTAATTCACTTCTACCTTACCCCTCAACCCTTGCATGGGTTCCTCATTGCAGTAGAAATTGCCACTATTCCCCCAGGTGTTTGAGACAAAAACCCAAACTCATCCTTGATTCCTTTGTCTCTACCTCTGATACACACCCAAATTGTCCTGTTTCTTATCTCCATAGCCACATTATTTCTCCTAGATAACAGGAGATGTAGTGTCCCATTCCTTGTTCATTCTTTGTATTTTGTCACAACTCCTGTGCTACTCCCAACTGAATTTGTGACATACTCCTGTGTTGGATGAGAGGTTTTCCATTCACACATAGGCCTGGGACACCATCCCTAAGTTCCTAAATGGGCCAGATAAATGATTATCAGCCCAGATTGCATATTGAAATGATTTGGAGAGTCTTAAAAATTACCTATATCTAGAGTTCACTCTTTATAATTGAATCAATCTGAGGTAGGACCCAGGCTTGGGGTTGAAGAGCTGTAAAAAGCCCCAGATGATTCTAGCTGGTGTATAACCAGTGGGAGAGCAACCTTTGCTTACTGGTGATTCCCAAGAAGGCAGAAGAACCGCTGGGTGTGTGGCTATGTTCCATGTTTTAGCGCCTGGTCTACTAGACCCGAGATAGGTATTTGCTAAATAAAGACTTGACAAAATTCTTGCTTGCAGGCTGGGCTCTGTGGCTCAGCCTGTAATCCCAGCACTTTGGGAGGCCGAGGTGAGAGGATTGCCTGAGCCTAGGGGTTCAAAACCAGGCTGGGCAACTTGGCGAGACCTCATCCCTACAATAAATCAAAAACTAGCTGGGCAAGGTAGCACACGCTTGTGGTTTCAGCTACTTAGGAAGGCTGAGGCGGAAGGATTACCGGAGCCCAGCAGGTAGAGGCTGCGGTGGCTGGGAGCGTGCTACTGCACTCCAGTTTGGGCGACAGAGTGAGACACCAACTCAAAAAAAAAAAAAAAAAAAAAAAAAAAAATTCTTGCTTGCAAGGGGTCCATTCAAGGTTCTAACTTTTTCCAGGCACCCTCTCACAAGAGGGTAACTTCACTCCAAGGATTTTGGAGGTGTACTACATTGTGTGAATCTTTGGGAAAAGGCAGGCCTGGGAATATAGGCTCAGGGGATAGTAGGCACAAAACCTTCCTCAAGAAGGGCCAAAGCATTTTATTTTTATTTTTTTGAGTTGGAGTCTCACTCTGTTGCCCAGACTGGAGTGCAGTGGCCGCTCCCGTCTCGGCCACTGCAGCCTCGACCCACTGGTCTCCGGCGATCCTTCCGCCTCAGCCTTCCAAGTAGCTGGAACTGCAGGCACGCGCTACCCGGCTGATTTTTGATTTATTGTCGAGATGAGGTCTCGCTGCCCAGGCAGGTCTCGAACCCACGGGCTCAGGCAGTCCACTCACCTCAGCCTCCCAAGGTGTGGGATTACAGGCTGAGCCACCGAGCCCGGCTGGGCCAAAGCATTTTAAAGATAAGACACTTGAAATCAGCAACTTGTTATGCACAGGCAACCACCTCACCCAACTGTGCCCCAGACGCGGATGGAGCGCAACAAGGAATAAACCATCTTCCAGCACTTTCCCTCTTTGGGGCAAATGTGAAAACCTAGTCTGCAGGGACAGTACCCCGGCGACCCCCTCCGCCGCTACTTGACCCGCAGCGATAGCGCGGACCGCTACTCACGCGCGCACTGCAGGCCCTTGCGCACGACGCCCCAGATGAAGTCGCCGCAGAGGTCGCACCACGTGTGCGTGGCGTGCCCCGCGGGTTGGAAGCGGTGACCGCGGCCTGGGACCAGCTGCCGTGCGGGATTGCGCGTGGTGCCCCGCGCGATGCGCAGTGCGTTGGCACGCTCCAGCCGGGTGCGGCCCGGGCCGGCTCGTCCCGCAGGTGCCAGCTCCCGCAACTCAATAAGCTCAGGCTCCGTGGACATGGTCCAGTCGAACCCGTGCTTGGCTGGCTCTGGGAGCTAGCCAGCGCGGAGCGGGCGGGGTTGCAGGGCGGGTCACGACTTTAGCACCGCCCCCAGGATCCAAGCTAGGGCGGCGCGATGGAAACCTGGGTGCGGGAGCTGTGTTGGCCCGAAGGCTGGGCGGGGATGGGGGGCGCTACCACAGAGCCCCTGGTCAGCTTTTTTCTTCCCTCTTTCAGCCTCTTTCCAGCCCCTGACAACAACGACAACAACAACGGCGACCGCAAAGCACCACACGGAGACATTCGAGTTTCTGGAGGCCAGCTTTACTGTGCTAGAGGAAGAGGGTCCCCACATCCGGCCCTTGCCCTCCAAGGCCAGTTTGCTGAGGCAGCGCCCTCCGCCTACCCGCCGGGTGGGGCAGGAAATCTCAAGCTTTCGATGGGGGAGGGGGAAAGAGGACGGGTCAGCAGCTCTACTCACCCTACTCTGCTCTCGCAGGCAGGGAGACTGGGGCTCTGGCAAAGGCAGAATTGAGGTCCTGAGGTTCAGGGGTACATTCTGGATGGGTTCCCTTAGTATGAATGGTTGGCCCTCAGCAACTGCAGCCTTCATTTGGCTCTGTCACCCTGGGCTGCCGGGACACAAGCCTTTCTATGCTTTTCCCAGTGCTTGACTTGGCATTCTCTGCAGGCAGATGGGTTGGTGAGCATGGCAGTGCATGTGTGGGATCTGGGAGTGGGGCTTAAGAGTTCAAGGTCCTAGGCTACCATTACCTGCAGCAATACCATTCATTCCGGCATTTTGAGCAGCGCTTGGAGGCCTCTGCACCACAGTAGGCACAGTGGGGCTTCTCTGGAGCCAAGGCTTCTAGCACGTCCAGCCTGTAAGTCTTAGCCCATCTGGGGGAGAGTCAAGAGGGCCTGACTAGTCCTGGCAGGTGGGGGCACCCTTGCCCATATCCATGTTGCCTGCATCCTATCCACCCAGTCTGCCAGTTCAGCAGGTCTTACCTTCGTGCCTGCAGCAGCAGGTCCTCCCTCGAGGGACTGAACACATGCCGAAGCTGGTGCTTGGCAATAGCATGCCACTTGCCTCTGTTCTCTCGCTCCAGCCGCTCCCAGATTTCTGGGATCTAGGAGAAATAAGTGGAAAGTGGCAGGAAGGAGCTGGCAATGTGGACAGTGATCCTGAGCAACTAATTTTCCAGTGCCTACCTGTTCTAAAATCAGGTCCTTCTTAGGGGGCTGGGTTTCAGTCAGGGCCAGGTGGGCCAGGAAACCCTGCAGGTCTGCCAGGTTGGGCAGTTGGTCCAGTAGTGTGTCTGTGAGGAAGGCTCGAAGCTGCAAGGGTGTCCAGTGGAGGGAAGTGTGAAGCAGGTGCTGCTTGGGGACCAAGGAACAGGGGGGGACTGGGCTAAGGGTGCCTATGGGGCCCATTACCCATGGTTGCTGCATCACCTGAGGCCCCTGGACTGGAAAGAGGAGTGGGGCTGAGGTGGGTAAAGAGAAACAGCAGGGATGTAGTGGGAGTGGGATGGAGTGGGAATACTGCTGGGGCCATGGGAACTTGTGTAGGGGGAGCTCCCCACCTTGAGTAGCTGTCCCTTGGCAAAGTTTGTGAGACAGTAGCGGGCCCGGGCCTCAGGGCTTAGCAGCAGGTTGTACAGAGCAATCCACACTTGTCCATCCAACTTGCTCAGCTTTTGCTGCTCTGAGGGAGCCACTGTCTGCCAGTGGCCCACCTCGAACTGCTGCAACTTGCCTGGGGAGAGGCACCGGTGCACTGGGTGCAGGTATTGCATTCTCTTTGAATGAGCCGGCTGTGTGGGCTGGGGTACTGACTGCTGCCTGTGCATGGTGGGAGAACCTGGGCCACAGGACTTGCCAAGGCTGTGGTGCTGCTGACCCCAGAGCAGGGTGAGCCCTCGGTAGTGGACACATGGGCCTTGCCTGCTACAGAGCCCAGGTCTAGGCCCACCTTGGGTGAGGCATCCTGGTATCCTCTATAGACTAAGGAACAGGGTTTGTCTGCTTATGTGCAATTGCTCCCCTATCAATTCTGTAGGATGTGCTGGAAGCAGTGGGCTGGGCTTAGATGGGTAGGGGAGGACCTTACCTCCTTCGCATCGCCGCCAGGGACTGTGCTCCAGTAGTACCACCAGAAGGCAGGGTAGGTTGTGGGTGCTGAGCATGCGGTTCAAGGTGCTCAAGGAAAGGCTAGGGGTAGGGGTGTCGGGAGGGAGGTGACCAGAGGCAGGCTGCAGGCCCATTCTTCCTATAGGCCCCAGGCCTAGTAGGGCTGCCCACCTGTCTACGCAGTCTGTGATATAGCGCAGTACTGAGAGGGCCTTCAGTGCAATCTCAAATTCCATCAGCTCTGCCTGCTTCTGTAGCTCCTGAAAGGCCATACAGTGTTCATGCTGGGCCACTCCCTGCCTTGGCAAACTTGGATCTAGGCCTTGCCCACCCCACAGAACCTCAACCCACCTGCATGGGGGTACTGCCTTGGGACCCCTCCTCCTCAAGGGAGCCACCACGGCCACTCTGGGCTACCAGCAAAGTCAGTTTGCGGTGACAATAGTCTACCAGGTCCAAGAGGGTATCCTCTGCTGACTCACATACCTCCTGGGGGGTAGAGAGAGGGGAAACTTGTCTCTGATGATCTCCCACACAGACATACTCTCCCTTCCTGCCAGGTCCTGCCCTGGAGCAGTGGTCTATGGGCAGGGATAGTGTCTCACCTTGTGGAAGTATACCGTCTCCAAGAGGTTGATGATGGAGGCCTCATGGTGTACCTATCAGACAAAGAGAAGGGCAGGGCCTGGGGCTGCTCAGGGAGGGATAGTGGCCACCAGCTATCAGACCAGAGCCCTTTGAAGGGGTGGGAGGAAGTGTGAACCAGGGGTCCAGCTCACCACCATGTATATGGGGAAGGTGTTCTGGGGCTTGAAGTCCTCTAGCCTGCACAGCACAGGGAACACTTTCTGCTTCCACATCTCTACTGCAATCAGCTCCTCTACCAGCGTCGGGATCTTTGAAATGTGAGGGAAAGGACAGGGATGATCTGGGTCTACCTAAGTCTGACAATCCTCTCATCCCTGGTTCAGCCCAGCCTAGCTCTCCCCAAACTTCCCTGAGCCCCTAAATTCTCTTAAACCCCAGAAGTACCTTTCCTGGCTTTTTTCCTGTACCTTAGACCTTCATTTCTCGCTGTTCCTAACATCTATGATGACATTCCCCTATGCTTCCTGTGACTGGTCCCTGACCTGTCCCCAGACTGCCTTGTCCTCCCTGTACCTGTCCCCTTAACCTCTCTTCCTCCTGCATCCAGACTTCCCTTTAAGGCCCATCCTCCTGCTCAAGCCCTCCCTCTTGTTCCTGTTCTCTGGCCCTCTGAGGCTCTTGTATGCCTTGGCCTCACCCTACTCAGAGCCCTTCACAGCACCCTATTCCTACTCCATTCCCTAGTAGTGAGCTCCACCTTTTTCTTACAGAGTAACCTTTTTGTCAAGTGATATCTCAGGTCATCTGCTGTTGCTACTTCCTGGCTCATACTCCAGCCAGACATCTTCCTGATTCCTAACTCCCCCACTCTCAGGTTGGGAAGACTTCTTTCTTCCATGCCAAAGTCCCACTGCCACTTCAGTTGGGGCCCCCTCTGGCCTTACCTTACACTCAATTCAGGGATGCTTTTAGCACTTGGGCCCTCCCTCTCAAGTCTAGGCCATTCTAGGATCCACAGCCACCTCTCTAATCAATTCATGTCCCGCACCACCCTGGTGTACCAGGGTCCTGTCCAACAAGGGTACAAAACGAAATGTGTAACACATTCCTCTTTCCCCTTTAGGGTGGACATGTGTACACCAGGCCAGAGGCTCGAGCATGAACTCAGAGTGCTCCGGAGAGTTAGAGTGGGTATGTGTGGGAAGGCAAGAACCCTGCCTGTGACCTCAGGGTACCTTCCCATAGGTGACCAGCAGCTCCTGTATGGGCTCTCCCTGGCTGACTGTGGCATCAAGGATGGCTTGCATGTTCAGTTTCTCCAGGTTCTCGTGCTGCTGGTTCCACCTGCCGGAGAGGGTGTGCATGTGCATTTAGGTGCATATGTGTGCATTAGGATTGAGGATGGGGGCTGATCCTGTGAAGCCTAACCTGATCTTGGGGGGCTAGAGGGAGTTCAGGAGAGGACTTTGCCTCTCCACCTGGGGGCCCCTCCACACTGGGCAACCGCTCATTCCGATGTCAGGCTCAAGCTCCCCCACTCAAGGACAGCGGCCCCAGGACACCGCCTGACCCAGAGGCCTCACCCTTCAGAGCCCATCTCTCGTAGCGGGAAGCTGCGCAGACCCTGCACCAGCACATCAGCCTCCCCGGGTAGTAGCAGCTCCAGGTCGTCCATGCTGGGGTCAGGGTCCGGTTAACCCCGGGCAGCAGCCGGGGTGGCGGTGCTGACACACTCGGGGACGACAGACTCTGGCAGGCCGAAGTCTGGGAAAGGACAGTCGTGGGGCCGTTGGGCCGCGTGGGTTCTAGCCGCCATGGAAACGGGTTAGCTTGGCGCCTGCGCAATGCGGCCTGGCTCCGCCTCTGCTGGTTGCTCGCGCTGGGGCCGGGCAGTACCCGCCCACCCTGCCTACCCGGTTGCCAGTAGCAACGCTGTTTGGATTCTTGGAGTTTTCTCACTGCGGGTTGTAGCCCATACTCCTTGGACTCAAGTCAGCCCGCACAGGAATGAGGTTAACCCCGACCCCCACCAGCTTCTCCTGAACCTGCGCCATCTTTGTCCACCCACTGCTCCTCATCTTGGCTTCCTCGTTTCCGTATTTCTTGCGCCCTGCTCCACTTGGCTCTACTCCCAAAATACTGTCCAGAACCCACTTCTCTCTATCCGAGTCCAGAGTGCCATCAGCTCTCACGGGGTAACTGCAGCGGGTTTTTCGCTAGATATACTTCCACTCTTGACCCCTAGGAACAGTCAGCAGTCATTTTTTTTCACAACCAGGAGTCTTAAAAGTGCACCTCAAGCCAGGCTCGGTGGCTCAGCCTGTAATCCCGCGCCTTTGGGAGGCTGAGGTGAGTAGACTGCCTGAGCCCGCGGGTTCGAGACCCGCCTGGGCAACTTGGCGAGACCTCATCTCTACAATAAATCAAAATGAGCCGGGCGTAGTAGCGCACGCCTGTAGTTCCAGCTACTTGGAAGGCTGAGGCGGAAGGATCGCCGGAGCCCAGCAGGTCGAGGCTGCGGTGGCCAGAAGCGGCCACTGCACTCCAGTCTGGGTGACAGAGTGAGACTCCAACTCAAAAAAAAAGTGTACCTCAGACATTACTCTCTAGCAGGAGGGAGGTTCGAGGGCTGCCTCTGGCCCTCAAAATACTAGGTCCGACGCGGTTTACCAGCAGGTCTGAAAGATCTACTTCTTGTCCTGCCTACTTCAGGGTTTAAGATTGCTGTCTCTGTCTCCCTTGTTTCATACTTCCAACCCCATGGGCCCTTCTTGGGCTCCTCATATATTCCAAAGAGCTTTTTGCCTCAGGGTTTTGCACTTATCTCCAGGCCTGGAATACTTTTTTTTCAGGGTTCAGCTTAGGTCACCTCAGTGTGGCCTGCAGTTCCTGCTCCCACCCCAACTCACTCTTCATCTCTGTTTTTTTCTGTTGTCTCTGTTTTTTTCTGTTTATTTTAGTTTATAATTAGCAGGCACTTTTATTTGTTCATTGTCGGTAATGCCCACCAGATGGCGCTCAGGTGTCAGGTCTGTGGCTATTTCATTCATTGCCAGGTCTCTGGTGGCTGGCTTAGTGGCAGTACTCAATAAAAGGTAGGTTGAAATGGATGACTTTATTTACAGAACGAAGGATCAATCTCCAGGTGGTGTGGACTAGCCTACTGGTCTAGCCCCATTTAGCAGGCAGGACTTAGCAGGAGAGAGTAGCCATAGCAATATGCCTATCCAGTCACCACCAGCCTTATTTCCAGCAGATGATGATATTGGGGTCGTTTTCAAGCCGCTCATCCAGCTCTTGGTAGCTCATGCCTGGATGGGGTGGTGGAAGTGAGGTCAGTGGCCCTGGCCTAGCCACCCTGCCCTGACTCCACCCTGACTGCCCTGACTGCCTCCACCTGTCTTGCAGCAGATTTCATCGTAGCTGTGGCAGCCTGTGTAAAGCCGGGCAGGGTGGCTCCGCTCTTCCCGAGATACCCGCACAGGATACTTCTGTAGCCGCCGGATGAGGTTCTTCATAAGCCCAAACTGGATCAGCTTCCTGATAGGTAAGGATTGAGGGAGAGAAGGATAATGCTCTGGCTAGGCCTCCTTTCAGCCAGGTCAACCCTTTCCTGTAGACTTCCCTTCAATTTCCTGTCAGGGTCAGACTGGCCTTCAAGCCCATCATCTCCAGGAAGCCTGCCTGGACTAGCAGTGCCGTATGATTCTCCCCACTGGGAATTATCCCTGCTTCCTCTCTCGGAAGGTCAGAATCAGTTACCTGCCCTCAGATAACTATTTCATGCCCCCAAGGAATCCCCCTCTGACCGTTCATCAACATGCTGCAGCTGCTGGGGGTGGCGGCCAATAAGGTCTCGCACAGTAGTGCCAGGGCTCAGGCTGCAATACAGCTGGAACACATCCCGGAGACTGGCCCTCTTGTGCCCTGTGGGTGCCAGGGCCAGGGGTCAGCTTGTCAGGTGGCTTTGCCGTCCTCAAGATAGCCTTCCACAGAGTCCACCATTACCTTGCTTGGTCACGTAGGATAGACACGCCTCCTGCAGGGACTTGTCATCTACCAGGTCCTGAACCTTGGGTGTTGGGCAGTACACGTTGGAGTACTAGAGAGTAGCAGAAGGCACAGAGGCCTGAGTGAGGGGCTTGGAAAGCTGACACAGCTCTGGTCTGGTCCAGCCAGACTGTCCCCTATCCACTTAACCACACCCAAGACTCACCTACCTGGAGGATGGACACCAGTGTCACAACACCATAGTACCTAAGAGAGATGGCTGTGCTTAGCTTCTGAAGACCATGCCTCCCCAGCTCCCATACTTAAGGCCCCTGGGCTCTTCCCTGTTTGGCAACTTTGTACTAGGTGTGGCTGTAGTCCCACTCACAGCAGGTTCTGGATTGCAATGCGCACCAGGTTGAGTTCCACATCTGCCTCTGCTGAGATCTTCTGGACATGGCGGAAACCATCAATGTAGGGCAGGATCTGGGCAGAGTCAGAGGAAGCAGGATGAGGCTAGGGTGTGTTCAGCCCTAGGTGATAATACCCAAAGAGGGATGGCATACCTGTTGTGTAGTGAGATCCCACTGTGAGTTGAAGAAATCCTCCTTGTCCTTGGTAAAGACAGGCACATCATACTCCTGGGCCACAGGAGGGTCTGGCCGCTGTTCAATCACCTTCAAGTGGATGGTGTTGGACTCATCTGCAGGAGGCCCCACCCATATCCTTAGTGCCATCTCTTCCAAGAGGCCCTCAATTACCACCCAGGCCTCCCAGCATCCCTTGAAGAAGGAAGGTGGCTCTGGGTAGGGTCAGTCTTCCCCTATTGTGGAGTAAGAAACGGAGGTCCACAGAGGGGAAGGAATATGCTCAAAGGGCAGAACTAGAGAGCTCGACTGGCCCTTCCATCCCCAGCCCCATCATGTACTGAGTCCTGGACATCATCACCTCAGCCTCTGGCTGTTTCCTGGCCACCGATCTGTTCATGAGTCTTGTCCTTTACCCCCAATGGCTGGGCTCACCTTTCCCTGCCATTTTCCCACCACTCCTTTACCCCCCTGCTTTCCTTGCCGAGGCTGGGCCATACCGATGGGCAGAGTACACCGGCCTGAGGCATTTAGTTCCTCCAGCAAGATGGTCATGATGGGCACCAACTTCTGCTTGCTCTCCTCCGTCGACACGAAGCTGCTCTCTAGCTAGATAGAGCATGAATAGCATGGTGGGCACATTCTAGAACTCCTGGTTGGCTGGCTGCCCTGTCTGGGTTCTGAGCTGACTGGCAGGGTCTCCAGGTTTGGAGGCCATTGGAGATATGGGAACACCTTCCCCAAACACCCAAGCCCATTTAACTGCAGACCTCCAGTGTGGTCAGGTAGCCAGCCAGCTTTTTAACGATGGGCTCGAGGGCACAGGTCTTGGCCTGAGCATCACACACGAAGCCAAGATTGAAGAGAAGGGCATTGCGGCTGTACTTCTTGTGTTCGATGCACACGGGACATCCAATAAGCTTCTTTTCCATGGCTGTGCTGGATAGGTGGAATGGAGTCAGGCCTGTCCCCCCACCTGTCCCCTCCTCTTCCTGCCCCATTCCCCTCCCTCCACCACCTGCCCCATTCCCCTCCCCTCACCACCCCCAGCTAGGGCCTCACACAGTAATAAGCTTGTTCTGCAGCTCTGGCTTTGTGATGATGTATACTTGGACTGTGTCAAATAGCTCTCGGGAGATGAAGTCCTCAGGGACCTAGGGATGGGAGAAACAATAGGTCCCTCAGCGGACACTGGTACTGGGTGTAGTACAAATGGTGACCACCCCACCCCCAGATCCAAGTTTTTCAGCATTCCCCTCTCTCCCATCCACTCAGGCCTACTGCTCCTTTGCGTTTCCAAACACATGCTATATTCCCGCCTGCTTCCTGTTTTTGCATATGCCGTTTTCCCTACCTAGAACACTTTCTCCTCCTTCTCCTAACTTCCTATGCATCATTTAGGTCTTAATTCAGGTATACTCACAGGCCACCCACTTCACCTTCTGTGGTCCCTGGCACCACCCCTGAGCCCCCACAGCCCGATTTCCCAAACACTGCCTATGTGACCTATGTCTCCCAGTCACACTCGGAGTAAGGGCACGGGTCTAACCATCCTCTTGGCTCACGGTTGTTTGCGAATGAAGAAGTGGCGTGCCTGTGTGTAGCACGAGGATCTACCACCTCCAGGCAACCACAAGGGCCCCCGGGAATGTCTGTCTCCCTGTCCAGCCCCGCTAGCCTGGGCGGCACCTGATAAGTGATCTTGGGTCCCAGCGTGGGGTGGAACTCGCTGAAGAATATGCATTCGATGCGGCAGCTGCTACTCATGGCGCTAGCAGGGCCTGGGTCCGTAGCTCCTCGTTCCTTTCGCGGAGGCGCCCCTTACCCCTAGGAACACCTGCCAGAGACAGTCGGGAGGTCGGGGCTGCTGGGTCACACAGGCTTGCGAAGTCGTCCGCCAACGGCGCCTGCGCAGCTCGACTCAGAGGCGTGGCTGGGGTCTCGTCCCAGGAAATCCTGGGGGAGGGTAGGCGGGGGACGGGGAGTCGCACCCGGAAGTGAAGTGGCGGAGCGGCGGCGCGCGCGGCAGGGCCCTGTGCCCAGCTTTCTTTGGACGAAGCTACCACATCAGGTCGGCGCTGCGGGTGAGGCCGGCAAATCCCTAGCGCGCAGGGGCAGCATGCCAGGAGCACTTGGGGAGGCAGTGCGCGAAGGGATTCACGCTGTAACTGGGACCGCAGCTGGGAACTACAGTTTCCGTAGTGCTTCACGCTCTCCCAGTAGGCTCTCCCGCCGGCGACGGCGTAGTGCACGCTGGGATTTGTAGTCTTACATGGCCCTGCGCATCCTATCTGGAAGGTGGGCCAGCGATTGGTACCAGCTCAGACACCGGCACACGCTGACAGGCCGCTGGTCCTCGACTAGAGTGCTGTGACTGTTCCTGGTGCTGGTCTTGGTACTGTTTCTTCCTACTGTAACTTCTTGGAAGAAGGTGGCATTCCTGCCCTACAACCTTTTTTCTTCAGTGAGGAGTGGACAGGGCACCTGAGAACCTTGCCCACGCTACTATGTTTTCAGGCTACGGCGACCGGCCCAGCTGACCATGGCCCTTTCTGCGGAGAGCGAGTCATACATCTATCGAGCTCTGCGCACTGTCTCTGGGGCTGCCGCCCACCTTGTGGCCCTGGGCTTTACCATCTTTGTGGCAGTGCTTGCCAGGCCTGGCTCCAGTAAGTAGAATTCATAGTTGACTTCTGGGAAGGGAAGGGCTACTATTCCTGAGTAGCAAGAGCAGTAGGAAGCCTGGACCTGACCCCTGGGAACAGGCCTGGAGGGGTGAAGGATATTTTTTACAGGAGGGATGAGTGAGGTGGAGCAGATGAGTCTGGGGGTTCTGTCAGCTTGGCCAGGCACCACAGAATACCTAGTTTCTCTTTCCTTGTCTGGGTGCTTCATTTGACTGCCTCTTGCAAGGTGCTGGGGGAAGGAGGGAGGACTGGGAGAGGAGTGGCTAAGTATGGTCTCTGATTCAAGAAGGGGCTAGGAAGAGAGGACAGGTGTGAGGTAAGCTTGTTGCAGCAGGAAGGGGCTCACATTTTGGCAGCACCTCCTTGGGCGATGGACTGCCAGTATTCCTCAGCCCTTAAGGATTGGTATGGCTGGTTTCTTCTTGCCTCAGCCCCATGAGGCCTCCTCTTCTCATTACAGGCCTGTTCTCCTGGCACCCTGTGCTTATGTCTCTGGCTGTAAGTAGTGGGCCTGGGCAGCATTGGGGTGGGAGCCTGGGCATGGGTGGTGGCCCTGGCAGTCTCTGAATCCTTGATGACACTTAATATCTGCTCAGAGGAGTTGCATGCTCCAACTCCTGCCCATGATATATATCTGAGACCTGACCCAGAGTATTCAAGACCCAGTTACAAATGAGTGAGGTTTGTCCAAGCATAAAATGAAGCTTCACCCACCTCCAGGCAAGAAGTTGAAAAATTGCATTTGCACATACCTCTGTCCCCCCTTTTTTTTTTTTGAGTTGGAGTCTCACTCCGTCGCCCAGGCTGGAGTGCAGTGGCATGTTCATGGCCACCGCAGCCTCGACTTGCTGGGCTCAGGCGATCTTTCCACCTCAGTCTTCCAAGAAGTTGGAATTACAGGCACACACCATCATGCCCGGCTAATTTTCTGATTTACTTGTAGAGACGAGGTCTCACCAAGTTGCCCAGGTTAGTCTTGAACCTGTGGGCTCAGGCAATCCTTTCACCTCGGCCTCCCAAAGTGTTGGGATTCTAGGCATGAGCCACTGAGCCCAGCCTCTCTGTCCCTTTTTACTTTTATAGTGATGCACCTAATTTTCCCTGAAACAGTGCACCCATATGGCCAGCTCTTGCCAAGAAATTGTATCCAGCCCCATCTTAGGGAAACAAAACTTGTGAATCATTTATAACTGCCACATCTCAAACCTTGTGTTTGCTGGGTAACATAGCAGAGATGCATTTCAGACTAGCACCTAGGAAGAAGTAGGGAGAGGCCATTCTTTGACTATTCAGGGCAGATAGGGTTTTCCATTCTTGCCCTACCAAATGGATAGTCTCATAGTAGGGAGAGAATGAAAAAGCAGAATCAGTCCAGATTCACTGACAGCTTAGAGTCATATAAAGTCCTCTTCCCTTCTGCCAGGGCAGCACCCTCACTTGAGTTTCTCATCCTCTGTCTCCTCAGTTCTCCTTCCTGATGACCGAGGCACTACTGGTATTCTCTCCTGAGAGTTCTCTGCTGCGCTCCCTCTCACGGAAGGGCAGAGCACGCTGCCACTGGGTGCTGCAGCTGCTGGCCCTGCTGTGTGCACTCCTGGGCCTCAGCCTTGTCATCCTCCACAAAGAACAGCTTGGCAAAGCCCACCTGGCTACACGGCATGGGCAGGCAGGGCTACTAGCTGTGCTGTGGGCAGGGCTACAGTGCTCAGGAGGGGTGGGGCTGCTATACCCCAAGCTGTTGCCCCGATGGCCCCTGGCGAAGCTCAAGCTATACCATGCCACTTCTGGGCTGGTGGGCTACCTGCTGGGTAGTGCTAGCCTATTGTTGGGCATGTGCTCACTCTGGTTCACTGCCACTGTCACTGGTGGGGCCTGGTACCTGGCTGTGCTATGCCCTGTCCTTACCAGCTTGGTCATTATGAACCAAGTGAGCAACGCCTACCTATACCGCAAAAGGATCCAACCATGAGCTCTCCCCAGCCTAGGGGAAACCTGGATTTGCCCCTCCATGTGGGAGCTGGGGTTAAGGACCTCCTGGACTCTCTCAGCCGACTGGGTCAGAGGGACACCTCAGATACTGGGGCAGTCAAGTTAAGAGAAGACCTGTGTGTGACATTTTTGCTCCTCATGCTAGAGTGCCTCCCTTTTCCTTCTCTCCATCATCCCAGAGGAGCATATGGATCATGTGTTTGAAGTTGGGGCTGCAAGACTGGCTCTCCTGCAAGGCAGTGCATACTTACACTGGTATGTCCAGACATTGCAGGAGAGAAAAAAGTAAAAAATAAAAATAAAAGAAATGACTGAAAAGACTGATGGGAGAACAGCCCAGAGTTGGGGATGGTTCTTGCTCATGCCATCAGCATGAGAAAACAGGCAGCTGGGTAAGATGGGGGCTCCTCTATCCCTGGCTAGTGAGGGCTGAAACTCCCAGCACACAAGTCTCCAGGGTCTGCTACCCCAGGCCCTAGCAGGCTCTAGGACTGTGGCTGTGAATGGTATAGCTGGTGTTCTTTCCGTCTCCCAGCTTCCCATTATGCTGGAGTTTTCAGAATGCGGTGGTTAGATATAGACAATGACAGGATGGGCTCTGTCTACATAGGTGTCCAGCACTGAGTACTATGTCTTGGAGGTGAATCACGAATAAGCACAACTTACAACAGAGAGGTCCTCAATCATCAGATCCTCTGGGCAGGGGCAGAGGGCCTCCCCAACTAGGCATCAGAGGGAGAGAAAATAAAGGAGTAAGGGTGTGAAGTGACAGCTCTGGGAATGCTGCTTGGCAGTGGGCATGTGGTGGTGGCAGGAAAGGCAATGGGCTTCTTGTCCAGCTGGAGTTACCATGGAGACTGAGCCCTTGAACCCAGAGTAAAGTCCTTGTCTAACTTTGCAGTTAAGCACGATGAGGGGACTACACAAGGCGGCCTGACAGAGCCCTGGGGTCATTCCTCAAAGAACTGCTTTATTGATACTGCGAGGCTGGGCTTGGCTGCCCACTCAAGTGGTCCTGTAGAAAATACCTGGGAGCTGTGGCTGTTCTGGCCCAGAAGCAGTCATGGTCGCAGCAGAGGGAAAGAAGAAATCCTGACAAGAACATAGTCTTTCTGGAGGTGGGCAGGGATGTGCAGCCCTGCACTGGCTGGGCCCCCAAAACATTTTTGGCAAATCTCTGCCTTGACTCAGGGCTCTCAGCAACCAGTTTTAGATGTGAGGGCCGGCCCAGGAGCCGTGGCACCAGTGTCCTTGCAGTCACTTGCTCGGGGCTGCCTGCTGAGGTACAACCTTACCTCAGATGAAGGCCTGGACGGCTGATGCCTTGGAGGCCCCATGCCTGGCATAGTGGTCGTCTGGAGTTGGAACCAGGTAGCAAGACTCCTGGGTAGTGTTGGCGAGAAACAGCAGAAGGCTGTGGAAACCTCCAGCAGGCCTTCTTCCCTCTCCTCAGAGCAGACAGTGCCCTGGAGTAGCTGAGAGGGTGTCAAGAGGGGCTTCGGAGAGGAGGTGCTACACTCAAGGTGGTCTGGAGTTACAGTTTTGGGGGAGCTGTCTCGAAGGTGATCAGACTGGATTCTGGAGCACCCCCCTTCCCTGGAGGCAGGGGAGCTTTGTCTGAAGGCAGGGGGCTGTCCACCTTGGCCCCGGCCTCCTCTTCATCATCATCCATACTGGGCCAGACAGATTGGTCCTCCACTCTCTTCAACCGCTCATTGAGTGCCTTCAGGGCCAGTTGCCTGGGGCCAGAGGAGAAAGGACAGGTCATTCTGGGTTTGGGCTTGGCTCATGCCCTCTACCCTTCCACAAAAAACTGACTCTTTCCTCTAGCACTTAGACTCCTCCCCCTAGCACTTAGACTCTTCCTCCAGAATCCCTTCCCCATGCAAGGTCTGGGGTTCTCCAGGGCCTGGGTTAGGGCCCACTATCCCATCAGAATGAGAACCCAAAGGTTACAGAGTCTTCCCTCTACAGCTAAGGCACCTCCAGGCTGACAAGGCCAAATGAATGTTTGCCAGATTGCCTGCCAAGCCAGCCACCAGAATAGTTTTGAGGGTGGTGCCTAAGAGTGGGTGGAGCTAGTGCCCTAAAGCAGACGGATGGAATGGCAAATTCCTGGAGATGGGTTTCTGCCTGGGCACTGGCATGACGTCCATGGGGAGGGTTATTAATCTCCCACTCTCCTGGTCAGGGGTATCTTCAGTCTCCTGGCAAGGGTCTATGAGGAAGGCTGGAACTCAGCACCTTCCTTGGCTGTCAGTCTGGGAAAGCAGAGCTAATTTGGGTCAGTCTACCCTCCTGACGCTAATATCCTCCCTCCCAAAAGAATCAATCTCCAAAGCCATCAAAACCTGTGTTAGAGCAGGGCCTTTATGGAGCCCTTGCAGGTAGAGGAGGAAAACCAGCTCACTTAGTTAGGGCACTGGTTCCACAAGGCAGACGCTTGGAGGCCCCACTTTGGCAGCAAGTGGGAAAGTCCACTAGAAGAAGATATATATATATGCGCGTGCACCCATGCTACCAGGGAACACTTTCAACAGTGGCCCCTTAGGACTTCTGTGCCACTAATGTAGGGACAGCCTGTGTGTAGCCTTCCAGGTTCAAGCAGAGAACCAAAATATCCACTGTGTCAAGGAATATGACAGAAGAAGCAACAAGGACAAAGACAGAGAAAGCCCCAGCACACTTCCACCCTGCCTGCCAACCTGGCACATGACAAGTTGGTACAGACATGACAGTCTTTCCCTGTTGCTATGCAGGCGCCCATCCTGAAGATGCCCTTGCCAGTTCTGTCTAAAGCCTGCAAAGGCAGAGTGATGGTATCATGCTAGTCACTTCCTCCCAAGGGCCAGAGAGACAGATAGATGTCTCCCTCTACTAGCAGCCCTTTGGGTTCGGAATGGCATGCAGTCAGATGTCAAACTGGTTGGAGGAGTAACCCCCACCCCCACGTACACTAACAACCTTAAGACTATGCTAAAAACTCACATCTTAATCCTCTCCTCCCCCAATCTGCCTCCCCCTGTCTGTTTTCTTGGGTTTGGGCAGAAGTTTTCTGAATGTTCAGCCAACCCTAACAATTCAAGACCTCTCAGTGCCAGAGGAGTTTCCATTGGTCTGGCCCAAGCTGAATAACTCTGAGGGCAGCTCAGTTCTTCTCAGGCCTAGCCCTGCTGGCCCCATCTTTTCTACTGGCTAAGGTTAAGACAGACCTCTGTCTTAAGGACTTATCACCCATGAAGACCCAAGCTGTAGGGCCCAGAATTATGTCCTGCAGTATGCTGTATGTACTTTTGGACACCTACCATCTTGGACCATAGTAATCTGTAGCCCTTGCCATTATGCCCTGCAGTATGCTGTATGTACTTTTGGACACCTACCATCTTGGACCATAGTAATCTGTAGACCATAGTAAGCTGGACTCCTTAGAGAAAGGGATGTATTCCACACTCAACTCCATAGCCCCAGTGGAGAGTAAATACAAGGATGACTGCAGCTGAATTCATAAAGCTCCACGTTAAGAGCCCATTCCACAGGTGAGGAAAAGCAGACACTTTTTTTTTTTTGAATCAGAATCTCACTCTGGCCGGAGTGTAGTGGCACGCTTACAGCCACCGCAGTCTCGACCTGCTGGACTCAAGTAATCCTTCTGCTTCAGCCTTCCAGGTAGCTGGAACTACAGGTGTGCACCACTGTGCCTGGCTAATTTTTTTGATTTATTGTAGAGATGAGGTTTCACCATGTTACTTAGGCTGGTCTTGAACACCTGAGCTCAAGCAATCCTCTTGCCTCCAACTCCCAAAGTGTTGGGATTACAGGCATGAGCCACTGCGCCTGGCAGAAGCCTTGACAAATGTATAGGCACAAAGCCTGCCTCAGATTTTACTTAAGTAATTATCTCAAAAAACTCAAGAATAATGTTGGAAATGGAGCTGTGGATCTCATGAAAGCTGGAACTCTGGTGAGTCCACAGATGTGAGAGAGAGAAAGAGCTGAATTTAAAAAGGTCTGTCCTGGCCGAGCATGGTGGCTCAAGCCTGTAATCCCAGCACTTTGGGAGGCCGAGGTGAGAGGACTGCCTGAGTTCAGGGGTTCGAGAACAGCCTGGGCAACTTGATGAGACCTTGTCTCTACAATAAATCAAAAAATGAGGCTGGGCATGGTGGCTCAGCCTGTAATCCCAGCACTTTGGGAGGCCGAGACGAGTTGACTGCCTGAGTCCATGGGTTCGAGATCAGCCCAGGCAAATTGGCAAGACCTCGTCTCTACAAGAGATAAAAAATTAGCCGGGTGCAGTAGCGCATGCCTGTAGTTTGGCTAATTGGAAGGCTGAGGCAGAAGGATCGCCGAAGCCCAGCAGATAAACACTGGGGTGGCCATGAGTGTGCCACTGCACTCCAGCCTGGGCAATGGAGTGAGATTCCAACTCAAAAACAACAACAAAACAAAAAATGAGCCAGGCATGGTGGCACGCACCTATAGTCCCAGCTACCTGGAAGGCTGAGGTGGAAGGATTGCCTAAGCCCAGCAGGTTGAGGTTGCGGTGGCCATGAGCGTGCCACTGCACTCCAGCCTGGGCAACGGAGTGAGGTTCCAACTCAAAAAAAAAAAAAAAAA